ACACCGGGCTGTGCATTCAGTGACAAGTCTAGTACCCAGTGAGGAAATCGAACAATAAAAAACTACAAGTAAAAAAACCCTAGACCTAGTTTTGTGGCTGTTTTTCCTGTACATAATCTTACATTGTCGAGCAAATGATACACAATGCGAAATCCTGAGACAAAAATTTAACAGATTTAAAAAATATTTTATCATCTATCTAATAACACAACTTACAGGTCTTGAGACTAGAATGGTTTGTTGCCTTTTCGAGTACTCAAGATACAGCGTGCAGCGAATAGTATTTTAAAGCTTTACAAAATATTTGGCTTCATTTGGCTGTTACAACAATTCTCAGCTCGCCATTTTTCACTTCGACAGAAGAGATCGTTTCATCACTCGGGACCTTAACAGAAACGACTACTAAATTACTAACTTACTAATTTTCCTGACCGGCTGTTACCTTGGCGTGTGGCAGTTTCATTAAATTAAAGGCAGTACCGTCCCGGGCTAGAAGTTTTTCGATTTAAAGTTCGGTAGTAAACATTATGTAGTTCGGTAGTAAACATTATGATGCTTGAGTCCAGTGTGTGGGGTGAAAACAGCTTCCTCTTCACACACACGACGTGGATAGGCAACGATTTGCTCAAAATTCGCAAAATGAACAGCGCTGAACTTATTTTAAAAACTGCAAATTCGTCCGCCTTTGCTCTTGCCGCCATCTTGACAACAAAGATCTGCCAGACGTCTCGCCCGTTGTCTCCTTCCTGCCTTCCTTTGCGCGCACATTTTCATCAAAAGAGAGACGTCTGGGTACGAAGCAGCTATACTCTTGCTTCATAACACCTAGTCGCAAAAATTAGTTTCCGCGCAACAGAAAAAATGCCCAATCCGCAAAAATAAACAACCGCAAAAATTTCCTGCCACACGGTACACCAGCCTAGCTTGCTTTGTATCGACCATCAATTATCATTTTCATTTGTTTATAGTTTCAGTTCAAACAGTTTAATGAGACCCGTGGGTTGGGGAGGTGTCCGGCATGGGAATGGGCTTAGCAGGGTTACTTCTTCCTTTTATACGCTGCAGCTGTCTGTTGTGGTAAACTTCTCGTTTTCATACAATACATAATTTCTATCTAGTCTAAGTTTTGTGGCAGCCCACCTTCTGGTGTCTAGTTCTATGTGGTTCAGGTAGTTGAGTGGCTGTTAGTTGCAAAACTTGGGGAAAGCAAGGAAAGGCCGATCTTCCGCGAAAAGACTTATACTTACACCACCAATGTTGGTTTCTGGGGTTTCTAACTTCCGCTACCAAGCGTAAACCACAGCAAACAAGTGGGGGGGGGGGGGGGGCCAAAGAACGTAACTACTCCTCTATCAAAGGACTGTATCTTTCTTGTTTAATAGATGCGTTTATTTCTCAACAATCTCATTCGATGTTACACTGTCGATAGCTATTTCCGTTCTGAAAACTACCCCTTTTACATCAATAGATTATAATCTTAAGGAAATACAATAGTGTTGCGGTTAATTCTCTGAATTCTTGGCTCGGTGTTTCTATTGAAGTAAGAAATTACAAAGCCTTCCGGCAACAAAACAAGCAAAGTTCAGATAAACTAGAGATACCGTGTGGCACGAAATTTTTGCGATTTTTCCAGCAATCCGCAAAAATAATCCCCCGCTTCAAAATTAACGCAAATATTTTTCCCCAAAAATTTCGTCCAGAGTAAATATACTCTGACTAAAATTCACTACACAAAAACACAGCACTAAGAAATCGTGTCTGTTCAATTACAACTCGCCTCTTCAATTCAGAAACAAAACGGTATACAATGAATTGGTTTTAGATAATGTACGCATACCGTAGTAGTGTTTGAAAATCTGTATTTCTATGCTGGGTACTGGGTACTTTTTGAAAATTAATTCTGAGCAAGAAAAACCATTGTGTCCTAGTGTCGTGAATGCCGTACGGCCGTTCTTCACGATATCGTAGTTTTAAGCAAAAACAGGGTTTATTTCACATACAATGGCTCGCTCACACACTAAACGAAATCGTGACTTTCTTGAATCTATAAGCCTTGGTTTTTAATCCGATCTGTCAGCAATTTCTCTTTCGCTCAGTTATGTTGTTAATTTAATAATTGAATACTTGGAATGTTTAACCCCGCAATCAGTAAGGGACGGACCATTAGAAAAGTTATGGGGGGGGGAGGGGAATTTTCGAGCTGCAGGAATTTTTTTTTGTTATCAAATTCCTTGTATGAATTTTTTTCAGGCCCTTGCATGAATATTTCTTAGGGTTTATTGGCGTGCAAGAATTTTTTTTCATTTAATTTTCCCTTGCGCGAATTTTTTTTTTTTTGTACTTCCCCCGCCCCCCCATAAGTTTTCTAATGGTCCGTCCCTAAAATCTGATAGACGAGGGAAACTATTTATATAATCACAAAGTTTAAAAGGAGTAAAATCACGCCATCTCACAACCACAGTATACTCTTCCTTCATAACACCTAGTCGCAAAAATTAGTTTCCGCGCAACAGAAAAAATGCCCAATCCGCAAAAATAAACAACCGCAAAAATTTCCTGCCACACGGTACACCCACTTAGCTTGCTTTGTATCGACCATCAATTATCATTTTCATTTGTTTATAGTTTCAGTTCAAACAGTTTAATGAGACCCGTGGGTTGGGGAGGTGTCCGGCATGGGAATGGGCTTAGCAGGGTTACTTCTTCCTTTTATACGCTGCAGCTGTCTGTTGTGGTAATCTTCTCGTTTTCATACAATACATAATTTCTATCTAGTCTAAGTTTTGTGGCAGCCCACCTTCTGGTGTCTAGTTCTATGTGGTTCAGATAGTTGAGTGGCTGTTAGTTGCAAAACTTGGGAAAGCAAGGAAAGGCCGATCTTCCGCGAAAAGACTTATACTTACACCACCAATGTTGGTTTCTGGGGTTTCTAACTTCCGCTACCAAGCGTAAACCACAGCAAACAAGTGGGGGGCAAAGAACGTAACTACTCCTCTCCCAAAGGACTGTATCTTTCTTGTCTAATAGATGCGTTTATTTCTCAACAATCTCATTCGATGTTACACTGTCGATAGCTATTTCCGTTCTGAAAACTACCCCTTTTACATCAATAGATTATAATCTTAAGGAAATACAATAGTGTTGCGGTTAATTCTCTGAATTCTTGGCTCGGTGTTTCTATTGAAGTAAGAAATTACAAAGCCTTCCGGCAACAAAACAAGCAAAATTCAGATAAACTAGAGATACCGTGTGGTCCGAAATTTTTGCGATTTTTCCAGCGACTCGCGAAAATAAGTTACCGCAAAAAAAATCAACGCAAACATTTTTCCCGCAAAAATTTCGTCCAGAGTAAATATACTCTGACTAAAATTTGCTACACAAAAATACAGTATTAAGAAATCGTGTCTGTTCAATTACAACTCGCCTCTTTCATTCAGATACAAAACGGTATACATTAAATTACTGGTTTTATATAGTGTACGCATACCGTAGTACTGTTTGAAAATATGCATATCTATTACACCCTGATTGCACGAACTTAACAAGAACGATGGGTAATGCTGGGTACTGGGTACTTTTTGAAAATCGCAAAAATTAATTCTCAGCGAGAAAAACCAATGTGTCCTATAGTCGTAAAAATTAGTTTCAGCGAAACAGAAAAAAAAATCCCCAACCGCAAAAATAAACTCCCGCAATGATTTCGTGCCACACGGTACACCTACCTAGCTTGTTTTGTATCGACCATCAGTTATCATTTTCATCTATTTATAGTCTCAGTTCAAACAGTTTAATGAGACCCGTGGGTTGGGGTGGTGTCCGGGATGGGAATGCCAGATTAGTACTTTCATACACTGTCTGCTGTCTGTTCTGGTAATCTTTTCGTTTTCATACAATACATTATTTCTATCTAGTCTAGGTTTTGTGGCAGCCCAGTATACACCTTCTGGTGTCTAGTTATCGAATAAATTAATAACCAACGATGAAACGCGAGACGACAATGACCACATAAAGCATTGTGAAATCAACAACGCTTAAAGTGTCGGCTTAAACATAGTTTTCGCATCGTAAAACAACTTCTATTTCACTTCGCACCAAAGCAGATTCAAGAATAGAACAAAACAGGTAAGATTTTCTCTCCTGTTTAATTTCCATTTGCAGTTTACTACTAAGAGCGTGGGTTCCCTATGTAAATACTAAAAGGAAATAAAGCAAGTCCTACACTAAAAAGTCTCTAGAAATTGCTTCTGTCATTTAAAAATGAGACCAAGCACCATTACTAAAAATAGTTAACATTAAAAACATATAGAAATCAATCACTAAACAACTAAACTACATTATAAATGTCCAAGTCTTTGTAAAATAAAGTTCGTGACTTCCCATTGGGAACGCCGGTCTTCGGCAAAAACACTTATACTATTAACAGCACAAGATGTTGATTTAGGTTTCTAGGGTCAGGGGCACCCAACGAGGATATAGCTCAAAACCACTTAACATAGCATTGTTGAACGTATTTTAGTATTTAAACGGTAGATATAGGCATATTTTTATCCCCTAAAAACTTTTCATCTGTTCGGATTAGGGTAGGGTTTCTAGCTTCCGCTTCGAAGCGTAAACCACAGCAAATAAGGGGGGCGGGGAGCAAAGAACTTTACTACTTAAACATTCTTTGCACGAATTTCAAGTGTAAGATATGCACACCCAAGCGGAGGTTTCTACTGCTGAAAAAGGAGACTTAAAGAGTAGTAAACCAAGCCGCCGGAAGCCGAAAGGCAAACCAAACATTACTCAGACTTCATTTAAAACTGTTTCCGTGAATAAAAATTATAAGATGTCTGAAATTAATTCTACCGGACCAAATATAAGTTAAATGCACAGAAAAGAGTTACAAAATTAAGATTTAAAAACTAAAACAGTTCCAAACTTTCCAAAGGTTAAAAAGAATCTCGAACTTTTACCAATTTCCTTGGGATCAAGGAGGTTGCGGTTTGTTGGTCTTTCTTTTATTTGAACCGAAGGACAATAAAACCAATGGCTGCCAGTGAACCACCAGCAGCGACAAGGTAAGAAGCTACCTTTTTGCAGACCTCGTTGACAGCTGTAATAGCCTGTTCTGAATATAGCTTACCGGTCTTGACGAAAGTGGCAAACGACTCGCAGTTGTTCTTGACTAAGTCATAGCATGGCCAAGAACTTTGATTTTCAACAGCATCTTTCGCTCTCTTCATCACTTCATCAGCAGGTAAGCACTGTTCACCATCTTCGTAAACGACACGGAAAAGTATTTCATGCCCATAGAAAAACTCTGTGAAATCGCGTCTCTGGGGTCGGGCGTTCTTTTTGCTATCTCCATAAAAGTCGTAGACGGCCAAATTTTCTCTGTCGAAAATGCCATGGTGAAAGTATTTGTCACCTGCCAGCATTGTCAACGGAGCCAGAAGCGGGTTAAGATCGCTAATGTTTCCGCAGACGGCAATTTGATCGGCAGTTTTCAAATCGCCCATTTTGACTTCTTCATAACGCATATTTCTCACTTTGTTAGGATCAGTGTGATAAGCTCAAGCTAGTGTAAAATTTATCATTCAAAATCGCTAATAAGGGTCGCTTATATAGCGATATGCCTTTCAACAATTGGCACCTGACTTCGATAGGTGTGGCGTTGACGAACCAATCATGTGGGCGCATTTCGTTTCGCCAGAGCGGACAAAAATACTTCCTTTAAAAATACAGTGGAACCTCTATTAAGCAGACACCTTCGTGACCTTCCCAAGTGACCAATCATATGGGCGCATTTCGTTACTATGATCACGCGCCAAAGCGGACGAAAATACTTCCTTTAAAAATACAGTGCAACCTCTATTAAGCGGACACCTTCGCGACCTTACCAAGAGAGTGTCCAGTTAACAGAGGTTTGAAAAATTGCGCAATGTTTATTAACGATTAACATTCAACGGTTACTCTGCACTGAGATAAAAATCCATGTTGTTAACATGGTTAAGGAAGCTAAGGAGGCTGTGCTGTACTTTGTGGAGGACTGGTGAACTTTGATCGCGGATGACCATCATACGACCGAATATCGGTCAAATCTACAATTTATTGACAGCTAAATGTATTTTGAACGAGCACTTGTGCTCTTAGACGATAACGTGGGTAAATAAATTATTGATTGATTGATATTGATTGATTGATTGACTACAGTACGCATTTCAAGGACGTAATCCAATACCACCAGTATAAGGTCCGCTTAATAGAGGGGGTGTGTTGTAAGGGGAAATATAAGACGGTAATTTCGGGACCCCGGCTTAGTGTCCGCTTAATTGGGGGTGCGCTAAATAGAGGTTTCACTGTATAAAACGTTTCCAAAATATATGACACTTGTTCTGTATATATCAAACTTGACTTGAATATATAACACTTTCTCCTTATTTCTAAAACTTATTTCCAAATGAAGACAACACATGTATCATAGTGCAATGCTATGCTCTTCATATACCGTAATTTCCGAAAATAAGCCCCTCCTTGTATAGGCCCCTCCAAATATAAGCTCCCCAAACTCGTAACGCAAAAAACCCTTAAGTGCTCACTTAAGTAGGTCACTTACGAATCCGTTATGGGTACACTTACGGGTGTTGCATGGAACGCACTTAACACTCTCGTAAGTTATTGTTTTACGTGGTAACTTACGGGCTCACTTGAGGGCACACGTAACTTTGATATAGTCCTTTACTAGTTACTCACTCTATTTTTTAATCTAACCATCGATGGGTGAAAAGAAAGTATCTGGTCGTTTCGAACACTTTTAAGCCTCTGTTAGATGATTAGGGAAATTCAGCCGGTTTTACTGAGATAACGTTTTATATAAACAGAGGAAAGTGCGTCATCATTTAACTAAAAAAATCAACTAAGAAGTTTCGACATAATCAAAAATACTTTATTAAGGTTATATCTGCACAGGTTCTAAACTACTTGTCAATGTTAAGGTGGCTCGATACAGTTTCTCAGGGTCAATACCTCTTAAGTTTGAGGGTAAACTACGTCGCCATAAACAAAGATTTGGAAAAATTGACACCACAGTTGTATTAGATAAAGATGAAAATTTGTTATGATCAGGGTTGCAATGACATCGGAGTTGTCATAGCAACGAAATGGCGCCATTACCTATTTTACTTGCAGCCGTATTTCTCGGCACTGGGAACTGTTCTTCCAAAATCGTTTATTGGAGCTCTTTCCCACAATATCTGCCTCGATGTTCGTGAAGTTTAAGCGAAATCTGTAAGGGCGTTATCGAGATATTTTGGGAAGAAGTTTTTATGGTTAGAAATACGGTAAAAAATGAAGAATCTTGGTGTTTGATGGTTATATGTACTAAACGAAGCGCTTTTGACATCCAATTTCACCTCATAGTAGTTTTAATCTTTTTAAAAACGTGTTTGAAGGATCATGGAGATACCTCCAGCCGATTGCTCGAAAGAAGGATTTGGTTATAGTATGTATCGGGGCGCTCTTGTTAGCGGTAATGTAAACATTTCGGTCTACTTTAACAAATTAGCAAATAATTGTAAAACCGCCGGATAGATTTTTTAAAAAATTCAAGAGTCTTGAGATAAACCGTCTTTTTATATGACCTCTTAGTTTCAAGATTATTGATATATTGTAGGGTAGTAAAATATGGGCTACAATTCACTAATATTTTGTCAGAAATTTTGTGAAATGGTGTTTTGTTCATATATATTATACATATGAACCTCATAATGTCAAGACGAGCATCATAATGTTAAGACGACCATTCAATTTTTTTAAAAGACGATTATTTTGTTCATATATAATATACATACCAACACCATAATGTCAAGACGTACATCGTAATTCCAAGACAAACGTCTTAATGTCAAGACGTATTCCGTAATGTCACGCCTAAGCTCCACATGCCAACGAATTAATGTCACGACAGACATTTTACTACCAGTATAAAATTCAAAAAACATTAAGACAAACATAATTTTGACACTGATAACGCGCCATACAAATATAAGCCCCCCAAACTCGTAACGCAAAAAACCCTCCGTTAAATTGCCCCTCCAAATATAAGCTTCCCCGGGGGGCTTGTAGTTGGAAATCGCCCTCAAATACAAAATAAAACAAAGCAAAAACGGTAAATTTCCTTCCAACTATAAGGCTACCCAATCGATTTTGAAATCCGTAGATAAGCCCCTCCGAATATAAGCCCCTCAAAAAGGGCCTTTGAAAATATAAGCCCCGGGGCTTATTTTCGGAATGTTACGGTAACTGTGTTCTTGAGGTAAACAGGTTGACTGACCTCAGTGTAAAAGCAGTTTGTTGCCTAGCTGTTCCAAATTCCTCTAAACTACAATAATCCTAACATCCACCCACACACACACACACTAGTCTTAAACAGAGATATTTATTAATTTGACACTCAAGTGTAATAAGAACAATGGGAATATTCCATTGACTAGAATCAAAGTGCCATCTTGTTGGCCTCTACATGACACTACTCATGCATTTCTCTCACCACTTTTTTTCATAAAGGGTAGCTGTTTTCAAAATGTACAAGGTTTATCTGTATTTAAAGTTAATTTCTTATCTTTGAGGAAAAAATATTCAGGTGCTTTCATTATACTCTCAGAGGCTTCACGTAAATCACATCATTTTACTTGGTGTAATTTGTTTGTTTCCAATCAGACTTCAATAGGCCATTTTTCATTCATATATTTTTTCATAAATCTGACATTTGTTATGTGCAATCGTCAAAAGGCTTCGTGCTCCTGTATATAACCAATGAACTATTTTGTAATTAACCTGTGATCACAAGAGTGACACTTCCAGTGACACGTCACGTATACAAAAACATGGAATCCGGAATCCGGAATCCGGAAACGGAATCACGGAAATGGAAACGGAAACGGATACGGAATACGGAATCCGTGAAAGAAGGTTCCAAGTGATCGATTTGGAAAAAAAAAATATTAGCAATGACAATGAAATAAATAAACAGATAAAAAAAAGACATAAATGAATTAATTAGCTGAAGAGGAGACAACTGTATCACTAGAGGAGTCGATTCCGGTGAAAAGACTCTTGATACCACTTCTGGCAATGAATGCAATTTCTCATCGGACAGCAAAGCGAGGAGAAAAACATCACTGACAAAAACTAGTTCCTTAGGAAAGAGGTAAGTTATTTGGAGACAGACTTCGTTTAAATCAACAGAGGCGTCGTTTATATAACTGAAAGGTGTCGCCGTCAAGTTTTTCCTGAGTGTCTATTCTGGGTTGCCCGCGGTCTTCAACAGTGTTCAGTTTTATTTATCAAGACAACTTACTCCAGAGAACCATGGCATTGTGGAGTCCAAAGAGAAGAGAGAATTGTGCATGCATTTGCTTGATTCCGCAAATGATTACATCAAAACTATGCGCCATGTTTAATAAGCCTCTTCAACAAAAATACGGAAGTCAACGTAAACTCAATTACCGGTACACCAGTTTTCCATCAGTATTCAGCTTGGCGAAAAAACACCGGAACTGTGGTCACGTCACGGGTCGGTCATGTGTTGAGTATTCAGTTTGAAGACAATCACGTGGTGTGGTCTGAGGTCAACTACTACTATTCTTGACATTTAGCTACAAAGGTAATATTTAACTGTATTACTCAACCCATAAACTCGTGAATAAAAATTACTCGTAAAATTACTTTCATCGGCCATGCAGTGCAATAACCCACACTACGGCAAAACTTATCAAGACACAATAACAAGAATATATTTAATTGAACTGCCAATAAAACTGAAACAAATTCTCTTTGGGTTGTACTAAATTATACAATGTGAAATTCTTTAATTTTCTATCGTTGATATTTGATTCCGTATTCCGTTTCCGTTTCCGGATTCCGGATTCCATGTTTTAGAGCTGCCGTTGGGGAGAGTTTATAACTTGGCGTAGAACAATGAGCACTATGATAGAAATTATAGCTCTCCAAACAACGGGTTCAAATTTCATGCTCGTAGAGGATGAATCTTCGTGCTCCGTGTTTTAGATTGTAATGAGGAATGTTGATTTTTTTCTTCACAGAAAGAGCCTAAATAAGTATAAGTTTATGTAATTGTGGATAACTTTCTCAGAAAACAAATATGTCTATCGAAATATAAAGCATATAACCTGGTAAATTTCTCGACTCTCGCCGCCATCTTGAAAATTCTACATCCACAATGCATCGCAATCCCAGTGCGCACAACGCCTGAGTGGAACCTCTACTTAGCGGAAACCTTTGGGACCTTCCCAAGTGTCCGCTTCATAGAGAATGTCCGGTTAATAGAGATTTGAAAAATTGCGCAATGTTTGTTAACGATTAACATTCAACGGTTACTCTGCAATGTGATCTCTGCAATCTAAATTCAGTTGAAAATGAAATGCATCTATTATTTCACTGTGATCTATATGATGATTTGAGAAAGACTTTTTTTATTAAAATCATCGAACGAAATACATTATTTACAAATTACAATATC